AAAGAAAGAAAGAAAGAAAGAAAGAAAGAAAGAAAGAAAGAAAGAAAGAAAGAAAAGTAACTACAACAAAAATCCTTTGTGCCTAAAGAACAGACAGGAAATTCTAGTCAAAACCACTGAAAAGTATACCCTCTGTGCCAGGAGAAATAACCCAGAAAGATCTATCCCATCCAGACACAAGGAAACTAAGGCTGAATCAGGACAAAAAGACAACCTCCCTGCTCCCCACTAGGAGTTTGCATCCAGAAGAAAGCAGCTCTGCTATACTGAGAGGAGCTAAGCCTGAATAGGACATAAACTTTGAGAAAGACTTCCCTAAAGCAAACCAACAACAGAGGAATCTGAAGGCAAGGTTACCTAAGGCACTAACTATAGCAACAAAACCCCAACACAATCCTTCTATATAACTGGCTCAAACTCTTCTATCAACAACCTTGCAAAAGAGTCACACCCATTCTCAAAATAAAAATTATATACCTCAATTTCCTCAAATTCTACAAACTATGGCAATCACTAAGAAATTTTAAGGAAAAACAAAACAAACAAACAAACAAAACACTATCAAGAGGCAAAGTAATCAACATGACCAGACTTAGGATTCAGATAACAGAAACATCAAACAGACTGTTTAAAACAACTATAATACAGATACATTCAGTCACCTATGGTCCTGGCTACTTGGAGACCTGAGACAGGATGATCACTTAAGCCCAGAAGTTCAAGACTACTGTCTGAAATACATCAACACCTCATTTCAAAAGAAAATGAGCACAAGCAAATAAACAAATATATGTATGTATATGGGGGTGTGGTGGGGCCTAAAGAGACAGCTCAGTGTTCCCTGTATAATCCTTAGAAACACTTTCTACAAAACACAAGAGCATACATAATGGCTCATCAAACATGCTTTAATCCTAGCACTGGGGAGACAGAGGCAGAAGGATCTCTGTGAATACCTGCCCAGGCCAGTGCTATATAGAGACCCTTTCTCAAAACAAAACAAAGAACTCAAGGCAAATGGATCCTGAGGAACTACATCCAAGGTTAACCAATGACCTCCATACACACTTCATTTGCATAGAAACACATATGCATACACACAAAAGAAAAACATACATAACTACAGTGAGTCTCGAAATAAAGTTCAGTGGTTGAGTACTTGCAGAGCCTGCATGAGAGCCTGGGTTCAATCCTACACCTGCCAAAAAGTAGAAATATAATAACTGTGATTAATAAATTAAAGGTCTTAATGAAAAACTCACCAGTAAGAAGAACAAATGTGGAAAACTGTGAGTCTGAATAGAAAAAAATAAAACAGGGCAAAATATATAAAAGCTGAAAGACCATATTAAGCTTATTTACAATATTAATGAAGCCTCAAGCAAAAACTGCAAAAATATACTGTGGATTTATAGTATAAAGGAAAAAATGCCTAGCAATTACTATCACAAAAAATAGGAGGCAAAAACTGGAGAATACTGTTATAAGGTTTGGGGTTTTGTTTTTGTTATAAGACTCTTACATTATAGTGAAGGAATACATTATTTAAGGGTAGACTGTGGTTAAAGACTCATGAGGTTAAAGTATAGCTCAGTGGTAGAGAGCTTGCCAAACATATAATTATGGCCCTGTCCCCTGGAGGCCAGCAAAAGATTTACACTGTAAAATTAGGGCAACAATTAACAAATATTAATGAGGTATAAATAATAAGCCAACAGCAGCGAACTGGGTATGATGACACATGTCTTGTCTATACATAAGGTTGGCCTCAAGCTTGCAGCAATCTTCCACCTCTGCAGGAATCCTGTACTGGGACTATAGGTATGTATCAAGTCTATCTTAAAAAGCAGATTTGAATTCACTTAAAGATACTGAGCTGGGCGGTGGCTCATGCCTGTAATCTCAGTACTCAAAGAGGCAGAGTCAGGTGGAGGTCTGTGAGTTCAAGGCCAGTCTGGTCCACAAATCAAGTCCAGGATGGCCAAGGCTACACAGAGAAACCCTGTCTGAGGGAAACGAGGGAGAAAACATAAAAAGTTACTGAGAAAAGGAGCAAAAAAAAAAAAAAAAAAAGCTCAAACAGGGATACATCTCTGTTGGTAGAGTATTTGCCTTAGTACACACAAAGACATGGTTTGCTTTACAGTACAGCATAAACCAAAATAGAAGACCATGCCTATAATTCCAGCACTCAGAAAGTGAAGACAAAAAGATCAAAATAGTTTATCTACAGCTACATTTCAATTACAAAGAAAGCCTATAGTCCTAAAACTAGATTGACTAATAAGGTAGGATAACAAACTAAAGGGTGCCCTTAACTACATAGAGAGATTGTGTCTCAAACAAAATGAAATCAGAAAAGTGGCTCAGCTCAGCAGGTAAATAGCACTTGTGAAAGCCTCAAGTCTGTTGACCCTAGTTCAATTCCCAGGATCTATGAAGAAAGCCAGATGTACACCTGTAATCCCAGCACTGAAATGCGGCCACACCGACACTGAGACAGAAAACCAGAAGGAAGCCTGTCAGCTAGATAGCTTGGAGTATGCTATCAGTAACAACCAGCAAGGCAGACTTTGCCTCAACAGGTGGAAGGTGAGGACCAACTCCCAAAAGTTGTTTTCCTGACCTCTACATTCCATGGCTCTAACATGACCACACTCACATACACATAAAAAATAAAAGAATTTAAAAAGAATACAAAAATGAAAGGAAACAAAAAGATGCTTTTGTTAAAAGTTCTTTAAAACACACACACACATAAACACATGTATGTGGGTTTGTTTTTCCTTGAGACAATGTCGCATTCTGAATCAAAAGCCAAGCTGTTCTAGAACTCAATATTTAGAGCAAACCAGCATTAACATCACATTCTCTGTCACTGTACTTCTGTTTGGGGGGGGGGGGGAAGCTGATGAGGACAGAAAAAGAATGACAAAAAAAAGTTGCCACAACTGCAATAATGGTTTAAATTGCATTTAATCAGTTCCAGAGTACTACATATACACAAAAAAGGACTCCACATCTATGTGAGAGGCATTGTCCATCCATATCCAGAGATCCGTAGACTCTGAAACAATGGGGCGACAACTGCTGGCTTAAGGGGCCCAGTTTAAGCCAGTATCAAGCCTGGTGTTAGAAGTGGGTCACCAAAATTCTACCAAATCACCTACCTGAGTCAACTGTCTTCATTTTTTATACAATAGTTAAAATAAATCAGTATAAAACAATCATACATAGTTACTAGCCTCTAACTCCCTACATCTCTAAAACAACTGTTGAAAACAGTTTCCATGAATCATTCAAACCCCAAAAACATCTTATCTTGAAAAAACAATGTTACCCTCTACTTGTAAAGACACACCCCAGGGGCTGAGAGTGTGATTACATGGGTGGAGTGCACACTCACCAGGGTTGAGGCTAGACACCCTGGGTTCAATCCTCAGCATGAGAGAGAGAGAGAGAGAGAGAGAGAGAGAGAGAGAGAAAGAAAGAAAGAAAGAAAGAAAGAAAGAAAGAAAGAAAGGAAGGGCAGTTTCTTGTAGTATTTCATCCTATTTTCCAGGCTCCTACAGCAGGTAATAAATGAGTTAACCAGACCTCTAAAACTTCATGAAATTTTAACAAAAAAACTATCATATGCAATTAAAAAAAGTAAATCAATATAAAATGCAATTAGACAGGAAGTTGTAAATATCATTATTATAACTTTTTTTTCAAGTAACAAAAATTATGTTTTATGGAGACTAACAGGTAATTGGATACAATTTACCTTCCAATCACAATGGATAGGATACTCTTACTTCAACAGTATTTGCTACATAGTCTTTTCCATGGCTCTGGTCTCTTGTTTGATTTTGTTTCTTTTTCTTGAGACAGGATCTCTCTCTCTCTCTTCCAAGCTCAGGCTGACCTGGAATTCATTACATAGCTCAGGGAGACCTTGGAACTCTAGAACTCTCAGCTTCCCAATTAGCCATATATATATATATTTTTTAATTGATTTATTATTTATACAGTATTGTCAGCAGACCAGAAGAGGGCACCAGATCTCATGATAGAAGGTTATGAGCTACCATGTGGTTGCTGGGAATTGAACACAGGACCTCTGGAAAAACAGCCAGTACTCTTAACCTGTGAGCCATCATTCCAGCCCCCATCATGTCTTAAATTATAAACCACCAGAAATTATTCTTTAGAAAAACAAAATAGAGCTCATAAAACAGAGCCAAGCGGTGTAGCTCAGGCCTATAACCCTAGCACTTGGGAAGCTAAGTCTTCCTCATCTACAAAGAGCATTTGAAGCTAGCCTGGGCTACATGAAACTTATCTCGAAAAAAAAGTGAAAACGACCTATCTCATAATTTCTCTACAAAATTATTATGTGTTATGCTGCTTCACAACACTATGGTTTTTTAAAGCCTTCTTACTAGTGTCATAGTCAACAAAGCATGCAAATACCTACGAATTCCTTTTTAGAAACCATTAGAGCCCGAAGAAAATAAAGAACAAAGTGGTAAAATTCACCTGTCCAAAATAAGTGAAAATTCACAGCTTTTCGAGTCGTTTCATCACAAATGAGTCGGGTACCAAGAAAATAATTCCTCACAGCAAGGACTAATTCGATTTCTCTGTTTTGGCCATTCAATCTCTGTAACAAAGAATAAGTTCTTAGTTACTTATTTAAAAAAACAACTAACATGGAAAGCATCAGGGTGCACTGGGAGGCAGAGGCAGGCGGATCTCTGTGAGCTGGAGGCCAGTCTGGTCTGTAAGGTGAGTCCAGGACAGCCAAGCCTACACAGAGAAACCCTGTCTCAACAAAAAAAATAAATAAATAAATAAAATAAAATAAAATTCAGGCTTCTGGTTTTCTGTCTTTCTTTTTCTCCATTGTTTGCGGTATGAAACCCAGGACTTTGCACGACAAACACTGTCCCAAGGTCCTCTACCCCTATCAGGATTGAATTTTTTTTTTTTTCACACATTTGCCAGGAAAAAGAAAATCAAATATAACTCAAGTAAGACCAAAGTCGGGAAGAAAAAGCCATCTGTATGAAATTACAATGGAACCTTAACAATGCAGGAAGTCTAGGCAGAGCTTCCTGAAGGACCTCCCCAGGTAAAAGAGGTAAAAATGACCTCAGAAAGCAGCTGCAGGCTTCAAAGCTGTTCCTGCTTAAGTCTTCAAATCCAGGAGCAGCTCTCCGAAATAAGGCACACCTAACAGCCGGGAGTACTGCTCGTTAGATTAGCTGCTAACGCCTGAGGGTTTTATTAGTCGTTGTTTAGCCCCCTCCAACACAGGAGATCCAATTCTTTCCCAAGTGTTCACGGCTGGTTCCCCAAGACTTGTTAAATTAGATGTTGATTTCTATTTATACTGACCCATTACACAACACGGTGTCCAGCCTTTTGGCTTGGTGCTCGGTACAGAATTTTCAGAATGTTTCACAAATATTTCCTGACATTTGTGACATGAGATGGTCAAACGAGATAACAAGAATACGGAAACGCTCCAGGGAGCCCCAAGAGCACCGAGCTCCCAAGCGCCGGTTCCCCCAAGCCCGAGAAGGTGCATTCCCGCATCCCCCACGCCCGCCCTGCAATCTCTGCCCTCCCCGCGCGGCCGGCCCCTCGCACACCAGCCTCCTCCTCCTCGCTGCCCCCCGGGGCCCCCGGGGCTCCCAGGCGCGGAGGAGCCAGTCTTTCAGCCCTTGCCGCGCTCGTTCCTCTCCCGCTCCAGCCTCCCCCGTCGCCTCGGTCGCCCCGGGTCGCACACACGCCAGAGCCACCCTCACGCCCACGGCTTTTCCGCTCACGCCCTAGGTTTTTCCGTCGGACACGGCCTCCCTCGCACTCACCGTCACGCCGTCCGCCTCACCCTCGGGACCTTGCACGCTCCCAGAGCCACCCGGGGTCTCTTCCCTCACACACACGCACGCACACACACACGCGCGAGCGCGCGCGCGCGCCTCCCTCACACCACCGCGGCTCCACGCTCCCGGCGTCCCCCTCTCAGCCGTGGCGTCTCGCGCGCGCCCTCCGCCCCACGCGGTTTCCGGCCCGCATCCAGCCCCCCCGCCCGGCCTCCCGCGAGCCGACCCCGGGCCCGGCCCGAACCGGCCCCGGCCCCTCACCTCCTCTCTCCCCCTCGCCAGTTACCTCCTCGTGGCCGGGGGCTGCCAGGATGCTCGGGCGCGCGGCCGCCGCAGCCGCTCAGGCCCCGCCCACGCCACGTCACTCGCAGCCGCTCGCGACGGCGCGCGCCGCCTGGGGACCCGGCCCGGACCGGCGCGGGGGGCCTCCTCGGGCGGCGTTGCTTCCGGGCACCAGAGCGCGCCGGGGCCCGAGGCGATGCGCGGGCCGGGAGTGAGTCACCTCCGGCAGGCGGGGCCCAGGGGTCCCCCGCCGGCTGTGACCGGGGTCCGGTCACCCCCATCGGGGATGAAGTCACTTGAAGCCTCTGAGGCTCCCCGTAGGGATGCTGCAGCGAGGAGCTCTTAAGGGCCCCCACACTCCATTTTCTTCCCGGCCGTTTATGGGAATTCCATACCCGGTAGGACCCCGGACAATTGACACAAAGAGCTGTGGACCGCCTCCCTACCTAGATGACGGCCCACCTTCAGTCTGTGGAACCCAGGACTTCAGTTCAGACTCACTTCGACCCTGGAAGGCACAGCTACTTCTTGCTCCCTTAGTCACCCCAGGGCTTTGTCCTAGTCTCGCCTAACTGTCTTGGGAATGCTGCAGCCTCCTGTCCTTTTCCTCTCACTAGTTGCTCCTCGATCTCCTTTTAGGTTATCTTCTTCTCTGGTGGCGCTGGTGCTCAATTCAAGGCCTCTTGTCTTTACATTTCACTGGACCCTCTAACGGACCTGTCTGATAGGAGTAAATGTATTTATTCTAAAGGAACAGTTGTGCTTTCTACTTGGGCTATCAGACTTTCTTTAAACGGACCCCAAGAAATTAGTATTTTTCTCTTGCTAGGAGAGGAAGTGGCAGAAGCATCCAAAGGAGGGGCTTATCTCCTGGAGAAAAATTTACAACTTGTCAGATGACCTTAAAGGACAAAAACTTGTCAGATGACCTTAAAAGACATACTTGGAGTTCAAAAGGAACTATGCCTAGGTTCTGTGTTTCTTGCTTAAGATTTAAGCCCTATTAAGAGTTAAGTAGTTAAGAGCACACTCAAGGGAAGGGGATTCTATTCCCAGCACCCACATGGTGCCTCACAACCACCTGTAACCCCAGTCCTTGGGGATCCAACAGGCATGTGGTACACATACATAAATGCAGGCAGGCAAAGGTACACATAAAGTAAAATCTTAAAAAATTATCAGGGTTTAGTGCCACACCCGCCTTTAAATGCCTGGAAGGCAGAGGAAGCTGGATCTAGGTGAGTTCAAGGGCAGGTAAGTTAGAACCTGTTTCAGAACAAAAACAACAAGACAAAAGCCTGGAAGCCAGAGCGCCTTTAATCCTAGCACTCTGGGAGGCAAAGGCAGGTAGATTACTTGAATTCCAGGCCAGCCTGGGCTACAGAGTAGAGGCTACACAGAGAAACTCTGTCTCAAAAAAACAAAACAAAACAAAACAAAACTCAAAAACAAATCCAAACAAGAAAAGCCTGGGTGGTGGTGGCAGTGGTCACCCTTACTCTCAGCACTCCGGAGGCAGAGGAAGGTGATCTCTGAGATCCAGGCCAGCCTGAGCTACAAGGTGAGTTCCAGTACTGTTACACAAAGAAACCCTGACTGAAAAAAGAAAAAAAAAATGTAAGCCCTATCCTCAAATCAGGACCCCCAAAGACAGACTTGGAGCAGTCATTGGATCTTTCCCTCATCCCAGTGTGACCACATTGAATAGATCTCCTTTTTCTGTTTTTAAAAAAAATTGTTTTTGTTTTATGTGCATTGGTTTTTTTTGTTTGTTTGTTTTGTTTTGTTTTGCTTGCATGTATGTCTGTGTGAGGGTGTCAAATCTTGGAGTTAGGCACAGGTGTGAGCTGCCATGTGGGTGCTGGGAATTGAACCCCGGTCATCAGAGTGTCAGTGTTCCTAACCGCTGAGCCATCACTCCAGCCCCTCTGCTTTTCATTATTAACTTGACTCCCTTTATCAGTTTATTGAGGGTACATGGCTAAACCTAGTTTGATAGGGAACAGGCTGTAACCCCAAATCTGGCACCGTGGTGGAGTCTAATGACAGGAATTTAATAGGTGGGTGAGGATCAGATGTTTTCCAACATCAGCACTCTTGTCCTACAGGCGCACCCTGCAGGATATGTTTATTTATCCTCACTAATCAGATAAGGAAGCTGGGACTCAGGGAGGTCAAAATGCTACCCAAGCAAATTGGCTGATGCTGGTAGAATGCCTTCTCTGCAGCTATGGAATTGAGGTGCTAGTAGGGCTAAAAAAGAGAATGAGTGGGTAGCTGGCTACAAGGTCATCACAAAAGATGGCATGGGTGGGCAGGTAAGTGTTGAGCTGGGTGGGACCAGGGAGTGAGGCTTCTTTTCATGTTACCAACCTTTCACTTAGGCCTAAGGTGCCAGAGCTGGGCTTGTGGGTGGGTGCCTTCACTTCTTTCTTGACCAACTCCCTTCTTCCATGCTTTATACCTGTACAGCGAGGCTTAGAGCGCCCTCTAATGGCTACAAGAATATATTGACACCTAGAGTTGCCAACTCAAGGGAAACTAGCACTGGAAAGCCTAACCCATCTTCAGTGGCCCCAGGTTCAACACCACAAAGTTCAGGCTGGGACCCAAACCCTCTGCATGCTTCTCTACCTCAGACACTCCAATGTCCATCGCCATGTGCCCCTATTTCTTAGTCATCATCTCTGCTCATCCCTCTCTGCCCATCCCAATATTAACCTAGTCTCTCTCTCTCTTTCTGTCTGTATGTCTCTCTCTTTCCTGCTAGAGTCCTTGAGAATAGGAAAGCTCATTGGAATCCATGGATTTCCATGCCTTCCACTCCTGGCTTTGCAAGGCTGGCAACAGTTTCCCATCATCTGAAGCAAAGCTCTAAGGAGCCTTATGAAGCTCTGGCAGGCCAGTGCCTGATCTCTTTCTATGGCTCCCTGTGCCGACTCAGAAGGCAGGCAAATACGATGTTGAATCTAGGAAAGCTGACTTCCTAAAATGAACTTTTAAGTTCAAAGTGTAGAGGGCAGGAAGGCCTTGTGCACACAGATAAGCAATGGAGAAGCCAGGACAGTTACACACACATCTCACCTCTTCGCTGGAGTAAGGTGACAAGCAGCTGCTCTTCCAGCAATGATCTAGTTTTACAATCTGGTGATCCTCTGCTGCCTGATGAGACAGGCTCTGCCCATATCTCCCAGAATTTATTTATTGCAGACTCTTTCCTCCTAAATCTTGAGCACTGCTTTTAGGCCGTAAGACCTATTTTTTAAGATTTATTTATACTTATGAACGCTCTGTTTGCATGTATGCCTGCATGACATAAGAGCATCAGATCCCATTATAGATGGTTGTGAGCCACCATGTGGTTGCTGGGAATTGAACTCAGGAGCTCTGGAAGAGCAGACAGTGCTCTTAACCGCTGAGCCATCTCTCCAGTCCCCCCCCCCTTTTTTTCATAAGACCTATTCTTATGAGTAATGCCACTTTGCTTTCCAGCATCCTAAGTGACTTCTATGTTAGCTTAGGGCCAGGCCAATCCTGAGACTCCTGCAAGCATATTTACCTCAGTCATTTTCCCTTATCTTGAGCATTGCTCTTAGTCAAAAAGAAAAGATCTTGCGAATGAAGCCATATGTACTTTGCAAAGAGCTTCGATGTAAACATGTCTAAAATTGTTTGTGCACTTGGGACTGAGTTAATTGTTATCTGAATCCTCTGCCCCCAAATTATGCTGTGCTTAAATATGGCTAAAGTAAAGTGATCTGGGCCAGACTCCAGAAGTCCTGGTCTAGCCCCAGTTACAATAAAACCAGGCTGAGCCTGTCATTCTTAGCTCACCCTGATCGGTTCTCCTGCCTGTTCTAGAGCCTGTGGGGAATCACCACATCGGAGGACACTGAGTCCAGCAGCTGAGGGAGGACAGGGCCCAGGCAACCCAGCCAGGGTCATTTGCAGGATCATCCTTTATCACCACCTTCAGCTTTGGGGCATCATATGAGAACTGAACTACAGAACAGGGTGAGAATAAGAGCCCAACTCCAAGAGACACAGTTCTGGGTCTGTTCCTTGGTCCCGGTGAGAGAAATTGACTCCAAAGACATAGGGTAAAGCGAAAGCAGAGGATAATGCTATAAGCCCAGTAAAGCCGTGGACCAAGCACCCACCTCTGCATCACCTTCATACTTCACAGCTCCCTCCTCTCAGGGAGGGCAGGGCAAGGCACCTTACAGCATCCGGAATACTTTTATTGCCAAAATCGAGGTACAACTTGCTCACGGCCCCAGATGGGAGTCCTACCACTCAGGTGAGGGATAGATGATGGGAATGTGCTTAACAAAGTCCAGTGCCAGAAGCACTGTGGGAAGGCAGTGCAGTCCAGCCTGAAAGTGGTTTTGGAACCCCAACCTAAAAAAAGCTGACCCAAGCTTATAGTCAGGTTCACTGTCCCTATGGTAGGCCCAGATGGCAGGCCTTAGAATCCCCATCCCTGCTGCCACAGAGACCATGCAGCATCCCAGGGCAAACAGAAAACCCTAGCTGGGAACTGTAAGCTCCTAGCTCTCTCAGAAGCCCTTTCAAATCTCTGCACTACTTTCTGCAAAACAAAACCCACTCAGCTGCCTGATGGGAGCAAGTGTTGGGCAAGAACTCTACCACCTTGAGAGGTGCCAAGCCTTGTGCCAGCCCACGTGGCTGGTACAAAGACCCTACAGCAGGGTACGAGATGGTGGTGGAGTTCTCAAGGCAGGCTCAGGGAAGCTCTGAGCACCCGTGGTGGTTCCGTTGAGCTCACTTTCTTCCCAGGTACCTTGCTAGAAGGTCACGACATTAGGCACTACTCTCCTTAACCTACAGTCCCAGAACCAAGAGAGCCAGCTTCAGTACTGGGACCCGCATCACCACCAAGATCAGGAATCCTAGGACATGTCCCCCAGAATTGAGGGGTCCTCTGCTGCCCAGTTCAGAACTAGGATGCTGCTAGAGGTGAGAGGTAGAGTGGACTGTAAATATCCCAGGACCTGGAGGAATCATGGAGCACACAGCTGCCCTGCCTGCAGGTTGCCAGACTGCATCCAGGAGACCCCACACTCAGGATGTCCACCAGTGAAGTCAGAGGAAAGCCGGCAGCTCTAGCCACCTACAGCCAGCGTAGTAGGCTACCTGAGTCCAGTGTGTGGGAAGGTCACCTGAGGGTCACTGTGGAACCTTCCAGGGCAGGACTTCAGCTCAATAACTAACATCCGTCACAGGAAGGTTAGGACCGAGTAGGCTAGAGTGGAAAGACCAGGAGCTAGAAGGACTGCATGGCCTGAGTTAGGGACCGGGATGAGGAGCCAACAATCCAGCCTACACAGCCAGTCTGAGGTCACAAATCCATCAGTAGCAGCATTCTTTCCAACAAATGTCCTTTGAGTTCACACTTATTTCTTCCTTCTTCACTGCTATTCTACGTAAGAAGGACGAGAAATAGCATTCCCCTGGGCAAATGCCTTACAGCCTAAAAGTTAGGCCTTCGAACGATGATCACAAACTTTGCCAAGCTCGTAGGCCACGGAAGAGTCAGAGGACAAGATCAGATCCGTGGTCTAGCCATCCAGCCAGCCTGGCACAGGAATCAAGGTTCAAGAAGCACACGTTTCAAATAGGCCAAGGTAGTGGCATTGGCTAGCATCTCAATGTGTTCACTTCCTGGCAACTCCTGCAATGAGACTTTGTGCTCCTGGCGGCTCTGCCAGGCCTGGCACTGCAGAACACTCTCCAGGTTCACTGTGCCATCACCATCACCAAAGCAGATTTTTGGGTCACGGTCAGGAAAGTTCTCATAGTAGAAAGAGTCCGGCGTGGGGACACCAGTCCCATAGAGGCAGTGCAGCTCCACGCCAGGTGGCATGGCGGCTTCAACCAGCCCTTCTGTGTCCTGCCGCATGAGCCAACCATCTTCGAAGCCGATGTCCTGGAAGAAGCGGCGATAGTCCCGGAGTGTGTAGTTAGTCGTGGGTGTGTGCACAAATACCTTTTCATGTGACCACGTGTGGTTGTATGGCAGTAGCCAGCTGGTAGAGACGGCAGATCGCTGCTGTTCCCGGATCTTCAGTGTTCGAATGACAGGGATGCGATTGTTGTCCCCTGGAAGGAAAGAGCTCCATCAGCCTGCGCCCAGGGAGGGAACTATGTGGATAGCAGGTTTACCAAGCTAGACAATGGCCCACTCAATACTGCAGAATCTTAGACTGTTAGCCCCTCCCCGAATCCACACATGACTGGCTCTTCTTTATTTTTCTTTCTTTCCTAATTTTTTTCTGTATGTGAAAAACATACATGCATATCTTGTACTTCCTCAACCAAGATTCAGAAAGCACTTCCCCTCCCTCCTTGAGTTATTGTTTGCTCATCTGTAAAGCCCTCTGCTAAGTGTGTACCGCCATGCCTGTGGGCACTAGTTTTGTCTAAGATGAAGCGGCAAGTCAAGTTGTTTTTTCCTGTTTTATCACTTTGAACTGATACATGCCTTCCTTAGACTCAGACCAGTATTCAGCCAATCTGATTTCATCCCACCCACTTAGGAGCCTGTGCACTGGCCCAGAAGGGGTCCTGCTGGAAGCAAGGCAGTGCGGTGGGGAGCTACAGCTGGGGTCAGCTCTTCTCCTTAGCCAGCGAGACTTTCAGGGGCTGAGGATAGGCTGCTCCACTATCCAATGCTGACTGACAGTGGGGAGGCCTTTCAGCTGGCCCCAGGGTAGCTTTGCCTGCTACCTGACCACTAGAATCCTTGGAGAAAAGGAAACTCCTAGGAGTTCGTGGATTTCTATCTCTCCCACCCCTGGATTTCTGGCGCTGACAGCAGTTTCCTAACATCCGAGCCAAAAATTTAAGGGATTTTCCAGGGAAGCTTTGAGATGGCCAATGCCTGAATTCTTATGCCTCCCTATCAAATTCTAAAGGCACCCACATCTCTTTCCTGTAGGCCCAGGAATGGCAGGGCAGAGGGCTGGGAAGAATCCTCACCATATCTAAACATCTACGCCATGAGCTCACTCTGCACTCAGTTCAGGATCACTGCTGGGAGAGATTATAAACCTGACCTGATCATAATGATCAAGCAGGTCAGGCTACCAGTGATGGCCGGAAGAAGGTCTGAGGACTTCTGAGATGGCCCTGGTTCACAGCCCCCAAGTGAGGGGGCCTGAGGCTGCCACTCAGTCATGGTGGAAGGAGGGCAGCTTCTTTCTGTACCAGGAGGCCCTGCCCCATGACTACAGAGGGTGGGCCCTACAGTCATGAAAACACAAAGCGACTGGAGAAGGGCCAAGAGAGGATCAACTTTCCCAACTACCAGGCAAACAGACCCAGCCAGACCTGCACCTGCTTCCTCCCTGCTCTGCCCACAGAGGCAGGTGAAACTCATAAATAGGATATGGTAGTCAGCCTTCCTCCTGTGACACAAAGTGGGGGTGGGGTGAGAAAGGCTTGAGAAGGGAGTCCAAAGAACTGTGGCAGAAATTGGGTTCTGCCAGCCAGGTATACAGAACTGTGTGTTCGTGTGTCCGTACACATAAGCAATGAGCAACAGTTATGTCACTCTGTGTACAAGATTACAGCAGATTAAACAAATTACAAGGGCTATCCACTAGAGAGGAGAACCTGGGAATAGAATTATATTTTATTTTTATTGACTTTTTTTTTTTTTTTTAAAGAGGGGTGTGTGTGTGTCCCTCCTCATCTGAGTGCTCCGGCATGCACGTGGAGGTCAGAAGACAACTCCTGGAAGTTGGTTTTCTCCTTCTACCATGTGGGTTCTGGGAACTGAATCCAGGTCCTCAGACTTGGCAACAAGTGCCTTAACCTGCTGAGCCACCTCACCAGCCACTGCATTAGATTTTCTTTGAGGAGAAAAAAATAAACATTTGTTTGTCTTTAATTAATTATGGTGTATATATGATATGCATATGAGCATATGAGCCTGTATGTTGAGGTCAGAGTACAATTTTGTGGAGGTTGTTCTCTCTTTCTCCTACCCGTTCTGGGAATTGAACTGAAATTGTTGGGCTTGCACAGTAAGCTCCTTCCACTGGGCCCCCAAAAACGGATATTTAAAATAGAAGATCACTCTGGAGAAGGAAAAATGTTAGTTCAGGGAGGAGACATGAAGGATGTTGACACAGCACTGAGGCCACAGAAGGGATGAGAAAGTGTTCCTGGAACAGCCACCCCGGAACAGGAACGGGTAGGGCTTACCTGACGCCAGGACACGCAGGGTCTTGGCCACGCCCCCCCAGGGCGCACCCAGTGAGATGAAGGCGCGGATGTACTTGTCCTTCCAGGCCTGTGGTTGCCGCTGCAGAAAGTAGAGCGTGTACATGTTGCCCATGCTGTGGGCGACCAGCACCACGGGGCCCCCATACATCTGGTACATCTCCTCGATCATCTCTCGGAGGGCCAAGAAGTAGGGCCCGTTTTCATCTGCAGGCCAGAGCCAAGCAGGGGTCAGGCAGGAAGTGTTCTGGGATCTGGACCACTGACCAATCCATAGGCCAGACCCAGGACTAGGGGTGCAGAGAGTGTGGGAAACTAAGTAGGAGCAAACTAGTTCCCCCAAAGGTTCAGGAAGAGAGGACGAGACTCCGTGTCCCCCCTCGGTCTTAGCCTCTGCTGCTGCCAAGACTCAGAGGTCCAGATATCCTGGGATGAATGACAGGAAGGACAAAGCAAGACTGATCAGAGCTGGTGGCTGCGGCCACTGCGGTGATGTCGGCCAGAGGCCCAGAGGTAGGGAGGACCCAAGGCCTATTAGTGCCCAAGACTACCTTATCCCTGCCTCCCAACCCCTCGGGGATGAAATGCAAGTGATCTCTTACTCGGGGCTCGGCGCCAATCATAGGGAGCCCCTCGGACGTCTTCGCCCCGCGTGTAGCCCCAGCCCACAAGGCTCTCCACCATAGTGTAAAAATAGGAGCCTACAGACAGAAAGGCATAGAATTACATAAAATATAACCAATGTTAGCCACCCACACCACACCCACAAAGACAGTGACATCTGTCTCCCAGAAGAAGTGTAAGATAAATTAGTGTCCACTAATCAGAGACAGCTTATAGGCTACCCCTTCCAAGTGATGCAGTACTTCCCATGTTCTAGAGGCCCAGCTGGAATCCCCAGCCTCGTGCCCTGGAGGGCCTGAGCAAAAGCTACATACCCACATTCCTTTTGCTGGGGTCTAGGAACTCCACAGAAAATGTTTCCCCAAAGCCAGGGACACGAACATCCACACCATCAGGAAACTGGGTGGCCCGAGATGTTCTGTTGTAAATCAGCCTGTTAGGAGAAGACAAGTCAGTAACTCACTGGCACCACTAAGCTTAGTGTGTCTCAATACTGTGCCCTTAGCCATACTCCAGTCTCACTTCCTGGTTCAGTCAGAGGTTGAAAGGGGATGAAAAAGTACTAAGGCAAGCTTATAAAACACTGATCAATGCCAGACATGGACTTGAGAGGTAGCGTTGGGAAGATCAGACAGCCAAGGTTATCTTCCTTTATGTATAACTTTGAGGCTAGCCTAGGCTGTAAGAGACCCTGTCTCAAACAAATAAGCAAACAAAAACCCCAACAGTACAGAGTTCAGATAACAAAAACCCAAATGAGAACTCCATCAAGGTTTACTCCAGAGACTAATCATGAGGCCCTGCCAAAGCAAATTCCCTTTTCTGGGCATCCCCTCGCCTAGAACAAGGGTCTTGAACTAGACAGATGGAAGCACCAGTTACAGCCATGTCATCAACATCATACTAGGCAGTATGTCTTGTCGGCAGCACCTTCCACCCCTCCTAACACATTACAGAGCAAAGCAGATGGTGAGCAATGCACACAGCAGACATGACCACCTCAGGGTCTCAATATCTATAACTTCTACACAGATGAGTAGGAGAGAGGTGGGACAGGGCCCAGAGGAAAGATAGGTGCAGGTCGGGAGAGACAGGAGAAAACATGTATTGTACACCAAAATGGGTTCAGCTGGATCCTATTTGCTCTGGACACTGGACCCTAGTGGCTCCCCGAAGTCATGCCATCCAAAGAGGAAGGGAATGAACCTGCTCAGCCATCCAAGGACAGATGACCTGCCGGCAGCCACAACACCCAGGATGTGGCCACCCATTCCTAAATGCAGTGATGGGGACTGTCATCTCCTGGGCAGTCCTTTGTTAATGTTCTGTTGCTGTCTAACTACCAAAGATTTAGCAGCTCCTAACTCAAGGTATTATCAGGTCATAGCTTCTGTGGTTGCAGTAAAAAAACCAAACTCGGAGCAGTACACGGCTGCTCTACTTGCCTTCCTCAGATCAGGGGTTGACAAGACCTGGAGAAGTAATAGGAAACACCAGAGGAAAAAAACGCCCCAGAAAAGCTGAATATGTTAGTGGTCCTGAATCCTATTGTCATTAAAGATCAGTTACAAAGGCCTGGAGAGAGAGTTCAGTGGTTAAAAGTACTTGTTGCTGTTTCAGAAGACCGAGGGTTCAAGTCCGAGTACCTACAATCATCTATGACTTCAGTTCGTCCACCTTTCCTGGCCTCCCCAGGGGCTGTACACACCTGAACACAAACGTACAGGCAGACAGAAAATCCATACACATAAGAAAAAAAAAGCCTCCGGGCAGTTTGGCACATGCCTTTAGTCCCAGCCTCAACAGGCACTCTAAACTCTCTGGCTCTAAAGATTGTTTTTTTAATGATAGAACTTTTACTGTGTTTGGCAACTGCAGCTTAAGATCGACTGAGTCTTTGAAGAGCAACTTGGGAGCCGAGTGGCGCTGGAGCACGCCTTTAATCACAGTACTCAGGAGGCAGAAGCTGATGGATCAGCCTGGACTACAGAGCAAGTTCCAGGATGCCCAGGGCCACACAGAGAAACCCTGTCTCAAAAGAAGAAAAAAAAAAAAAAAACTCAGTCACAGAAACTGACAGGATATAACACTGATCACATGATAGGGCCCCAGGCCACTCTCTCCAGTGAATAACCAGCCAAGTGTAGAAAATTATGATGGAAAGCTAAAGCAGCTAGCTGTGTGCAAGATGAAAATCTAAACAGGTCAGAGAAGCAACAAAGACAAAAGGAGAAGGCTCCTATCAGCATCAACCTGTGCCTTCATTGGCAGTACCTGAAACCACATGTCTCCAGGACAGAAATAGAAATGGAGATCAACAGCCCAGAAATAGCTGCAATCACACACCAAAAAGTGTAAACAAAGAGGGCAGCAAGAACAACAGTGAAGGACTGGGTGCCTGGAAGATTGGCTAGCAGGTCTCAGGAAGAGCTGATGAAGTTCTAGTCAGCCCAAATATTTACGGGGCACCAACTATCTTCTTTGATTTGGCTTAGCTCTTAAGAGCATTTGTTCCTCCTGCAGAGGACCCAGGTTCAATTCCCAAAGCCACCCACTGGTGGCTTACAACTATCTGTAATTCCCAGTCCTAGGGGATCTGATATCTTCAGACTTACACAAGCACCCAGCACACACAGTAAGTACACACACACACACACACACACATATACATATATATATATAACCAAAATACTCGTATACATAAAATAACTCTAGAAAAAAAAAGCAAACCCACAAAAATAAACAGAAACCTATGCTCTGCCTTCAGACACCTCTGTCTGGGAAAGGACCTTAGACTAATACAATTCAGGCAGGCAGTGGTGGTGCACACCTTTAGTTCCAACACTCAGGAGGCAGAGGCAGCCTGAGGCACTCTGAGTTTGAGGCCAGCCTGCTCTACAGAGCGAGTTCCAGGACAGCCAGAAAGAGAAACTGAGTCTCAAAAAAAAAAAAAAAAGATTAATACAATTCTGAGTTTGAATTCTGATTCTGTGATTCATCAGCTGAATTGAGATGGCTGTAGCCAGTTTTATAAATTCTTTGAGCTTCCAGATCCCTTTATCTATAAAGTAAGTTTGTTGTATTTTGCTTTGTTGTGGTTCTGGGGATCAAGTCCAGAGCCTAATAATGTATGATATACAAGTGATTTATGACCTAAACATGATTACACCCCCACCTCCTTAAAGCAGATTTAAAAACAATACCACCTCGAAAGTGTGCCTGGGGACCAAATTAAACTCATCACTTATCGATTTCCTTATGGTGCAGACCTCAATCAAGCGTGTTCTAGTTACACATCCTGAGCTACACAGCAAGATCCTGTCTCAAATCCCTTTTTTAAAAACCTAATTGTGTGAGTATGATTTTTTTTTTTTTTTGCCTCCATGTATATATGTGTACCACATGCAGGGCATCAGGACCCTTGGAGCTGAGTTATGACAGTTGTGAGCCACTGTGTGAGTGATGAGACTCAACTGCAAGCCCTCTGCAAAAGGAGCAAGTGATCTAATCTACTAGGACACCTTATCAACCCCCTTTATGTTGTTGTTTTGTTGGTCTTTTTTACTGCTGGGCGCTGGTGGCGCCCAGCTTTAGTCCCAGCACCTCGCCGGCAGAGACAGGTGGATCTCTATGAGGTCAAGGCCAGCCTGGTCACAAACCATGTTCCAGAGCTATTACACAGAAACCCTGTTTCAAAAACAAACAAACAAACAAAAAACCCAAAAGAAGCCAGGCTTGGTGGCACAGGCCTGTAACCCCAGCACTCAAGGAGGCAAAGGCAGGCAAATCTCTATGAGTTTTGAGGCCAGCCTGGTCTACAAGGTAAGTCCAGGATAGCCAGGTCTGCACAGAAAAATCCTGTCCCCCCCAAAAAACAAAAACAAACAAAAAAGTAGGATGAGTGTAATCCCAGCACTTCTAAGGTAAGATGGGCGACAGTAGAACTGACAGCTAACTAACCTGGAATACACAAAATAGAAGGCAGGAACTGACTCTGACCACCACAACAGTCTGGTAGACACATACAGGCAATAAAAAACAAACAAACAAAACAAAATTAAAAAACAAAAACAATACCAAAAAAAAAAATCTCTGCATTCAATCCCTAGTTCCATAAAATAAGCAGGATATAACACAGCACATACAAGTATGTGTGGATAGGCAAAGAAGAGAGATTAGGGATGGCAAAACTAAGGACCCATAAAAAAATCCTATAAAACCCACTTCTTTGTATGATTAAAATATATCATTCTTAGCCAGGCGCAGTGTTACACGCCTGTAATCCTAGCACTCTGGAAGGCAGAGGAGGGCAGATTTCTGTAAATTTGAGGCCAGTCTGGTTTACAAAGTGAATCCAGGGCAGCCAAGGCTACACAGAGAAACCCTGTCTCAAAAAAAACCAAAATTATATATAATTCTTAATAAAAGGAAGTCTGAACACAGGTCCTCTGGATGGGTAGAAAATGCTTCCCCCAGGAGAGATGGATTTAAATGAAAATTACTCCTTACACATTTTTGGTCAAGGAGGCCGTAGAGGCCATGAAAACAACAGAGACCATTGCCACTGCTTCTGGTTGCCCTCTATGACTACATGGCAAGGCCCTATTGCTAAAGACACTGTGTTCTTTGTTTGCTAGGCATAGCAGATTAAAGCGAGACCTGACCTGGAGACTTCCTTCCTGATAGCTAGATTTCACAGTACTGGATGGTGCTACACAAGCCACCGAGGGAGAAAAGCCAGCAATGGCGAGCTGGGTGCGCCAATGCGCACATGTGATCCCAGCACTCAGGAAGGCAGAGGCAGGCGGGTCCAGGACAGCCAAGGCTACACAGAGAGACCCTGTCTCAAAAAAAAAAAAAACAAGGAAAAAAGAAAGAAAGAGAGAGAGAAAGAAAGGTCATCAATGGTATAAACCAGCTGGGCGAAGCCTGAAAGCTGCAATACTGTCCTACGGCAAGATGTGTCCACTGATGTAATAGTGGCATGAGGGTTATATGGCTAACCAACCACTTTTTTTTTTTTTTTTTTTTTTTATTGTATCTGAGGCCCATTCAATAGAAGGGAATTCAAGCCTGGCACTAGAAACCTGCTAAAAAGCCCATGGCCTGAGAAGTCACAGGCACTAGCAGAGAACGAACTTCTGTTTTGCTAAATGAGCATGTTGTCTGTCAAACTGTCTTTTAGATATTTATGATTATGGGCATTAAATTAGTGTTGCTCAGCCAGGCCAGAGAAACTTCTTCCGTAGTGGGCAGGATTAATGCAGAGAATCATAACTGGTCAGAGTGCTGAGAATAAGTAACTACTGAGAGCTCAGTTCTAAATGAGACATCTATTAACAACACCCCCCAAGGCTCAGGAAACACCATAGAAGAGGGAGAAGAAAGGATGTAAGAAGAGGAGGAAGTTGGAAAGAGTACTGTGAAATGCTATCTTCTGGGCATCACATGGCTGTTGATTAGCAAACACTCCAGTAGGCAGAACTAACTGAACTGATTGGATTATTAAGAGGAGGAAAGCCAAGAAAATAAAGATAAGGCAGCAAGCTGGCTCAGTGGATAAAGATACTTGTTGACAAACCTGAAGACCTGAGTTCAAATCCCTGCAAGCAACATGGTAGAGAACCATTTTCTCAGGTGTAAATAAGTGTAATTTTCTTAAAAAAAAAAAAAAAAAAAAGAAAAGAAAATTAAAGAAGAGGACATGGGCTGAGGAGGTGGCTCATAGATTAAGAGCTCTGGCTGATCCTCCAGATGACCGACCTAGATTCGATTCCCAGCATTCATGGGGCCATTCATACTAATCAGCAACTATAGTTCCAGGGGATCCAAGACCCTCTGGCCTTTGCAGGCATCAGGCATGTACACTGAAGAGAAACACACATACACATAAAATAAAATAATTCTAAAAGAAGAAGAAGACCACCCCCGCTGGCTGCTCTTGCAGAGCTCCCTGGTTCAGTCCCCTGCACCCATGCAGGGCAGCTAACAATCATCTGTAACTCCAGTTCCAAGGGACCTAACACCTCCTTGTGGCTTTCTTAGGAAATGCATGCATATGGTACATAGACACGCATGAAGGCAAAACTCCCATACACGTAAAATAAAAACAAATAAATCTTTACAAAAATAAAAAGGAGATGGTATGAAGGTGGGAAAGGGATATCTTTGGGAGGAGGTGAATATGATTAAGAAACACTGTATAAGCCAAGTATAGTAGCCCAGGCCTTTAGTTCCAGCACTTGGGAGGCAGAAGTAGGGGCATCTCTGTGAGTTGGAGGCCATCCTGTTCTACACAGTGAGCTCCAAGACAGCCATAGAGAATCTGACACCCTCTTCTGGCCTCTACAGTACTACACACGTGTGGTGCACAGCCAACCACAGAGGGAAAACAACCATAAACATACAATTAAGAAAAACATTTTAAAAAAAAGAAAAGAAGAAAGAAAGAAAAGGAGACTAGAGAGATGGCTCTCTCGCAGAATACCTAGGTTCAATTCCCAGCATCAATTCCCTGGTAGCTCAGAACCATTACTTCGGTTCTGGTAGACTGATGCCTTTCTCTCACCTCTGCAGCTCGCATGCAGTGAACATATACACACACAGGTAAGACAATCCAACCCTTAAAAAATAAAGTAAACCTAAAAGCCAGTTTTCAAAGACACATGGTATATGTATGAAACTGTCAAAATAGAAGATTAAAAAAAATTACCTGCCGGGAGGTGGCGATACACACCTTTAATCCCAGCACTCAGAGGGCAGAGGTAGGCATATCTTTGTGAGTTTGAGGCCAGCCTGGTTTACAGTTCTAGGACAGCCAGAGCTACACGGAGAAACCACGCCTCGAAAAATAAAAGCAAAAAACAAACAAACAAAAAAATCCCTGAGACAATTAAATCCTCTGCCATCCAACTAAAATGTTTATTTCATATACCCCTTAACTTTGTCCCCTGAGCACCACTGATCTGTTTGCACAAAAGGGAAATCAATTTTTTTCTGTCTGTGTTTGTTTTGGGTCTTGACAGGGGGTCTTGCTACTTAATGCTGGCTGGTACCCATTCAGTCACCTAAGCTGGCCTCAAATTTGTGACAATCCTCCTGCCTCAGCCTCCCTCCCAAATGCTGGGATTTTATACATGCCACCATACCCGCTTCATTTATAGTTTACAAACATACCTGTGGCTAGTAACCGATGAGGTTTGGGTTGATTATATTATAACATGAAAAGTGAGATGGCTCAGCAGGTTAAGGGTCCTGCTGCCAAGTCTGACAACCTGAGTTCATTCTCTGGGGATCACATGGTAGAAAGTGAGAAGATGATTTCTACAAGTTGTCCTCTGACCCCCATACCGATATCCCTATATGATAGATAGACAGACAGACAGACAGACAGACAGACAGACAGATAGATAGATAGATAGATAGATAGGTAGGTAGGTAGATAGGTAGGTTTTTTTAAGGATGGGAAGTTTTTGATCTATCACACTCTGTTGGTAAAAAACTTCACTTTAAGCAGGGCGCAATGGTGCACACCTGTGATACCAGCACTCAGGGAGGCAGAGGCAGGCGGAGCTCTGTAAGTTCAAGGCCAGCTTGGTCTACAAAGCAAGTCCAGGACAGCCAAAGCTACACAGAGAAACCCTATCTCAAAAAACAAAAACAAAAACAAAATAAAATAATAACAACACTTTATAACAGAAAAAATTTAAATTTCCTATATTGAATTTTGTAAAACAACATAATTTGATACTTGGTGAGAGTTAAAAAGAACATGTATGGGGCCTGGAGAAAAGTGATGGCAGGAGAGATTTTAAGTAGGGAATAAAGTTGAGCTTATTTGGGGAACGGTGGCTTTTGGAGACAAAGTATAGATTGGAGCCTACAGTCTTCCTCAGGCTCCCAAAGCAATGAGATTATAGGCCTGCACCACCAGCAGGTTTTTTGGGTTGATTTTTTTTTGAGATGTTTTTAACATTTTTCATTTTATGTGTATTCAGTATTTTTGTATTTTCAGTATTTCGTGTGTTTTCATGAATGTATGGCCTCTATATATGTGTGCACTGGCCCTCCCCCAAAAAACCAAACAAACAGAAGTGGGCATCAGATTCCCAGATATTGACGTTAAAACTACCATGTGGGTGCCAGGAACCAACCCTCTAGGGCAATGGTTCTTAACCTGTGGGCTGTGACCCCCTTTAGGGTTGCATATCAGATATCCTGCATATCAGATATTTACACTGTGGCTCAGAACAGTTGCAAAATTACAGTTATGAAGTAGCAGTGAAATAATTTTACAGGTGGGAGGGGTCACTATAACATGAAAAACTGTGTTAGAGGGTCACAGCGCCAGGAAGGTCGAGGACCGCTGCTGTAGGGTTCTCTGCAATAGCAGGTACGGCCCTCAGTCACTGAGTCAGCTCAACAGCCAGGCTTTAAAGGGTGAATGGGAGGGGATTTACTCAGTAAAGACTATAAAATCAGAGTCCCCATGTTTGCATATTACAACATGCAAAGATACAGACATATAGGGGGAAGAACAGGCAGCTCTAGCCAAGACCAGGCAAAGAAAGGAGGGGAGCCATACTGAATCTGTGAATAGGAGCGAGGCAAAAACAAAAACAAAAACCTGAGTCTATGACGCAATGGCTGAACTAGAGAAGGGAGGACCGGAAGCAGCAGGAAGAAAAAGAAAACCATGCTTCTGAGAGTGTATAGATAGTGCCAAGCAGGCCAGACCAGATCAAGGGCTACAGACCTAGAAGAGAGAGGTCACCTCCACCTGTTGAGGAATGAGGACACAGACTCACGGGACTTTGAAGGCCTCTCTAGGCCCCGTAGATGAGTGCCCCCCCCCAACCTGGGTACACCAGCCCTCACCTGATGTTGTCGATCCAGCAGTCGATGATAACAGGCAGAAGCAGCTCAAGGTTCAGCCACAGTGTGAAGTAGCTGTCCGTCCTCTTGAAGCAAAGGTAGTGGACCACCTTCGGCTTATCCAGCTTTGCTTCCAGCTGGTTCCCCAAGTCACCAGGCACTACAGAAGTGAAAGACAGGCATGGGCCCAGGCCGTGGCAGGCTGGAGACCCCAAGAACCTCGCAGTCTGCAAAAGAGTCACCCAAAGAAAAGAACACCTCTACTCTGGCCCGACTTTGCAGTCCCACTCTGAAACAGAAGCACAATGCCAGGGTTGGGAAAATCAGAAACAGGGAAGCTGGACAGAGAGGCCAGGACACCTTGTCATATAGAAAAGCTGCTGCTAGCCAGGCATGGTGATGGATACCTGTAAACCTGGGAGGCTGAGGCAGGAGGATCAAGTGACTGCTAACCCAACCTGGGCTACATAATGAGATCCTGTTTCAAAACAAACAGAAAGAAGAGCTGCGTTAATGGGAAAGAGGCCTGCCAGCAGACTCTCCCCAGTGCTATGAGATAAAAATAACTTCCCTAGATCTCCGCTGGAACTTCCATGTAGGCCATTCAGAAGGGAATTCAAGCCAGAGTCACTTCCCTAAGAGGCCGTGGATCTCTGATATCTCTGCCTGGTTTGTCCCCACAACTACAGATGGTTTCTAAAGTAATGGACCCGGATCAGATTCTAACTAAGAGGGGGTCTGAGGCTCATGGGAGTTTTTTCCAAAACCTCCAACATGTGGTCAGCCTGATATTTGATATGTACCCTCCAAGCATAAACCAGGCTGAAAAGAAAAGCTGGGTCTTATCTATCTTTCAAGCAGTGGGACACAAGACAGAGTAGTAGGCCAAAAATTAAATCTAGAGGCAATGTCTTATGTTTTTGTTTTGAGACAGGGTCTTGCTGACATCAAAAGCATGCTTTTCCAGCCTCCAACCAGCCAAATGCTGGGATTACAGGCTTGTGGGAAGAAAGTCGTGATAAAAAACACAAATGAGAGAAGCTTACAATGGTACCAGCAAGCCTACCAAGGCCCTTAGGCATTGCTAAAGGCCAGCAAAGTTCCAGAGGGTAGGTCCTGTGGAAAACCTTAACAGGTTGAGAGGTGTCCCACAGCAGATGGCTAACCTGCAATAACATGCCATACAAGCCACAGGCCAGGGTGTGTGACCACGTTTCAAGCATGACTGGATTGACCCTTGTCAATCTCTTTGGTCCACACAAACCCTAGGGCCCAAGCTCACACCCATCCCTTAAATTTCCAGTATTTAAATCCCCATGATCTACTCCCATTAACCTTACAGACTGCAGCTACCTCCTATAGGCTATGCTCTGTGCAGTTCATAAAGACAAACAACCCCTTCCCTCTTCTCCCCCACCCCCCAAAGGTTTATTTGTGTAGCCCTGGCTATCCTGGAACTTGCTCTGTAAACCAGGCTGGCCTGGAGCTCAGAGATCCACCTGTCTCTGCCTCCAGAGTGCTGGGCCTAACAACCAGTGCGACAACCTCCTCTAAGATCTACGGTCACTGTACGGCGCCACTTAGCTCTCCTCACCAGGGACTCTGAACCCGGCACATGTCCTGGCCTGAGTGGTTATCCCAGTGTCTTCAGAGTGTCTTGGGAAACAGGTGAGACACTGTGTGTGTGTGAGGCAGGAAATTCCCAGCATGGGAGCCTTCACCTGATGTGCCTGTGAACTGGGCATGTGAACTGGTCAATGTCTCCATCGACCGAAGGGGAAATGGGTGAAAGAGGAAGCTAGCAGACACCCTTTGCCCTGGTCGGTCTGTGTGGCCTCCAAAAATAGCAATGGCCCCTTCTTGAGATACGTGGTGCCCGAGACATGGACGAGAGCCACATACAGAACTTTTACACTGGGAAGCCATCTTTACCTTCACACAAAACTTAAAATTACGTTGACTTAATGTGTGTGTGTGTGTGTGTGTGTAGGGGTAAGATAAGAGCACAACACAGCATATGTGTGGAAGCTGGAGGACACTTACCCCTTTACCCACTGAGCACTCTTTTTTGGGGGGGGAGGAGGGAGGGTCGACAAGTTCTGTAGCCTTGTCTAGCTGTCCTGGACTTCCTTTATAGACCAGGCTGGCCTCAAACTCACAAGAATCTTCCTGCCTCTGCCCCCCTGAGTGCTGGGATTAAAGGTGTGAGCCACCACCATCACCTCTGCAACCAGCTTGCTTGCATCTACCTGCCTACCTGCCTACCTATCCCTTTACTTGTTGGTCACTGAGCTTTCTTGCAGGTCCTCTTTATTCATTTAACAGATGGGAAGACTGAGGCTGAGAAGGGTGCAAATGATGCCTAAGGTCTCATCCCCAGGCCTCAGGATCAATTTTTCTGAGTTTTGCTGCCTCTACCACTAATTCAGGATCCACACTTTGTGCCCAGAAACAGCTCTCTCTGGCCTGAGTCAACAACAGCAGCCTCGATCCTTGAAAAGATGGGCAGATTGAGAATCAGGTGTCTGGAGCCCTGTGGAATAAATAAAGGACTGGAGTGCAGTTAGTAAAAAAAAAAAAAAAAAAATGTGGCAAACAAGCAGCCATGGTGGCGGTACGAGTCTTTAATCCCAGCACTAGGGAAGCAGAGGCAGGCAGATCTCTGAGTTCAAGGCCAGTCTGGTCCACAAAGAGAGGACAGGGCTACAGAGTGAGACCCTGCCTTTAAAAAAAAAAAAAGTGACAAACATTGAGGTGGTCAGAGATTGCATTTGTCCCTTTGTCCCAATGCCAAGTTCAATTCTTAGAACTCCTTAGGCTCATATGTGACTTCTTCAACCTGGCCCCCAGGGTAAAAGTCCAGATGACCCAATAAATCACAAGCTCTACACCACCCATGCCCCCGCCTCCCCCCAGTTCCACTCCAACCAGCCTGGAACCATCTTGTGACCAACCTTTGTTCCGGCACACATTGCATCCTCCCATCCAGGCTGAGTTACCCAACATAGACCTCATCTCTGAGAGCCATTGTTACTACCATTCAGGAAGCTTGGGAAAGGCAGGGATGATGTAAAAATCTCAAAATGAACCTACGTCCAGAATCCCTCATACCATTTCCTGACCTAAAATGCCTAATTTGCTTGTTTGTTTTGGTTTTCAAGACAGGAGTTCTCAGCCAGGCGAGATGGTGTATGCCATTAATGCCAGCACTTGGGAGGCAGAGGCAGGTAGATATCTGAGTTCAAGGCCAACATGGTCTACAAAGAGAGTTCCAGGACAGCAAGGGCTACACAGAGAAACAGTGTCTCAAAAATAAAAAATGGACAGGGTTTCTTTGTATAGTCCTGGCTGTCTTGGAACTTGCTTTATAGACTAGGATGGACTTGAACTCAGATAAGCCTGCCTTTGCCTCTGCCTCCTGAGCACTGGGATCAAAAGCACGCACCACCATACCTAATTTAGAATGCCTATTGAGACTTCCAGGAACCCCTTTGCCTGACAACAATTTCCTTCTATGATCTTCAGTACCACAAACTTAAATATTCCCAGCAGCTGGTCAAGGTGGCACGGAGGCCCTTAATCTCAGCATTCAGGAGGCAGAGGCAGGCGGATCTCCGAGTTCAAAAGCCAGCCTGCTCTACAAAGTGAGTTCCAGAACCGTCAAGGCTGTTAGGCAGAGAAGCCCTGTCTTAAATCAATCGAAAACAAGAAATCCCCAAAGAAAAAGCACAGGAACTTAGTCTCCAGTTGAGTAAATATAACATATGCTTCAACATGTCTCTAATCTCAGGAGTCCTGGCTGGACAGGAAAACCAGTTCAAGATGACAGCCGTGAGCTGAATGGGGCACCTAAGACTCCTGGAGATTTTAACCTGGCCTATTACCACAAGGAAACATTGTCATTCCTGTTTAGGGACCAGGTCCGGGACCAAAGAGTGAGTGAGCAGGGAGTTTCACCTGGCCTCAACACAGCCTGGAGTAACCAGGTCTGGCAGGAAAGAGAGTAGAAGCATGCATGCTCTTGGAGTCCCTTAACACCCGTTCAAGGCTGTCTTCCCAATGCTTCCTCAGCCTTCCCTTAGCCATCCTGTTTCCCTTAGGCCTTCTCCTCAAAAGTCAATGCCATCCACTTCATAAGTTAGAGCAAAGGGAAATGATCTTGGTGGTCAGCCAAGATAGCACTTGCTGTCAGCCATGCTCTGTAAAATGCAGAAGGGAGACAGGGGTAATGCCTCCTAGGCAGACTCAGACCAATACTGAGACTACCTAGGAGTCCTCTGAGGTAGAGTTAAACTGCCTCAGTCTTTCCAGCTAAGAAATGGGGGCATGGTGAGGCAAGGCTTGGAGCTGATGCGGATAGGTGGAATGGGAAATCGGACATACTTCCACGTTTTAGAGGGTGGCTGACCACACCCGTGCCCAGCACGGCGGGAGATGGGCTAACCGACCCGTCCCAGATTAGACACCAAAACGCTCTGGGCTCCGTGCTTAAAGCAGATGCACAACGGAGAAGTCGGCCCAGCAGCTCCTGGCTGCACAGGATCCTGCACAAGATCCGCCCACCACCCCACCGCTCTAGAGTCTCACCCAGCACCACCGGGGGGTGACGTTGGGCCGGGAGCGCCAGGTCTGCCAGCATCATTAGCAGAAGCAGGGGGAACAGGAGGCCACTCCGGAGCTGGGTCGCGCGACAAGTGCAGAGGTGGCAGTCCATGGCGTGAGACTGTGGCAGCATGTCCAAGGGCGGCTTCAGTGCTTAGGGATCCTGCCTAGGCCGGGGCCGCAGCGTTGCGCTTAACCCACCGCTCGCAGCCACCAGTCAATTAGGACCCGCCTCTTGCTAAGGCTCTACCAATTGGAACGAGCGTCCCTCCCACCCAAGCTCACCACCCGCCCTTGCCCACCCCTGGGCTTGCTAGACTGTGCTGCGCGCCGAACGCATCGATCGGCCGCTGGGCGCCGCTTGGCTCCCCGCTACCACGCGGCTATCAGACTGTTAGGAGGCGGCCCACCTCACCTTGTACCCAACACAGTCCCTGGTACTCGCTCAGGTGGTCCTCATTTCTGATTCCTGGGCCTCCCACACCCGAAAGGGCTGGAAACAGGTTTATCGTTTGCTGTGTCTGAACATCCTCTCTGAAAGCAAGAAGAGAGGAAGGGAGCCCTGGGTGGTTGGTTCGTTCTTGGAACTCAGGTGACCAGCAGCTGTCCGGAGCCCTCACACAGCCTTCACGCTGGCATTCCCAGGGGCACCTGGGCTCGCTCCCCCCTGCCTACAGAACTTTTACTGTCTGCCTAGACAGTAGAAATGCAGGTGGGACCCCAGAAACGGGCCCGGGAGAAGCCAAATTATCCTGTTCCAGACGAAGGGTCTGTCGATCGATCTGGCAAGTGCAGCCCATGAAGGAGAGTTAGCGGAAGCGGTTTTAATCTGAAACCCTGAGCCATCTATTTTTTAAGTTTCCCCTGCAAGGAACAGGGTTCGGGACCTCCGGTAGAGCCGGGTGTGGTGATGCACACCTTTAGTCCCAGCACTCAGGAGGCGGAGGCAGGTGGATCTGTATCAGTTCGAGGCCAGCCTGGTCTACAAAGCAAGTCCAGGAGAGCCAAGGCTACACAGAGAAACCCTGTCTCGAAAAACAGAAAACAAAAAAACAAAACAAAACAAACAAAAACAAACAAACAAACAAAAAAACCACCTCAGGTTGGCACTTTATCTCCTGTCCACGCAAACCTGGGAACTCAGGAAACAAGAGCCAGGAGCTGGGTCCCGGGCAGACTGGGCGAAGGCTCAACACTGGTAATATGGCAACCTAGTGGGGTAAAGTTGACCAGTGCGTTTGAGAAATGACCCTCCACACACTTCCCTCTGAAGGCCTATTGTACCCTCGGGACACTGCTTAGTCCCAAGATTTCAGTTCCACCCTTCACCTCTTCCTTCCCTCTTCTTAGTAAACAGCTGACCCATGTTAAAGCCGATCATGCTTAGTTTCTACAGCAAGATAGGAAGTGGGACTTTGTTGTTGTTGTTGTTGTTGAGACGGGGTTTCTCTGCGTAGCCCTGGCTGTCCTGGAACTCGCTCTGTAGACCAGGCTGGCCTCGAACTCACGCAGTTGAGGGATAATGTCATTGTCTTCAGGGATGTAGTCACCGGTGAGTTGCTAATGCTTCAGTTGATATCTATGTCCGTGCTGGTGGCTGTATAGATGTCTATAGTGGGTTAGTGGGTCGCAGACAAAGCAGAAGACAAGGAAGACTTTGGCGGAGGAGGGGTGGAGTGGGTACACGGATGTGGGTAAGCACTATATAAATGTATGAGATTGCAAACCAGTCCATTAAATCCCGTGTCTCAGGAGGAACACGCAGACAGAGGGAACCACGCTTGGCTGATAGCATCAAGGCACTCCCTCTCTGCCCTGGTTATCGCCTGCGGACCACTGTACCTCCCAACCCCCGTCTCTCAAATAGGTTAAAGCCACAGGGTCAGCGCGCCCTCTGGTGGCATTAAGCGATTATGCAATGACTCGGAGTTGAAAAACTTGGGTGGACTGGCTATTTCTAATTACCCAGGAGACCTTTGGAAATGAGGTTTGCCGGAAGCAGCTGAGGGAGAGAAATGATCCTCTAGTTGAATCTTGTTCTATCGAAGGATTTGTTTTTCCTATGGTCAAAAAGGGAGAGAAGAGGTCGCTTTCTTACCACTCCTGTTAGCATAAAAGGTTGTGCCGGCCAGACTGTGGTGACACATGCCTTTAATCCCAGCACTTGGGAGGCAGAGGCAGGCGGAGTCTACCGAGTGAGATCCAAGACAACCAGGGCTACACAGACAAACCCTGTCTCGAAAAATCAAACAACAAAGGAAAGGTTGCGCCAACATCCCCCACCCCACCCCTGAGAGTCAAAGTGGACAGACTGTATTTTTCGAAGGGCCTCGCGTGCACTCCCTTGAAACATGGCCTCTTCTGCATAGAGTGCAGTTTGGGATAGGACTCACTATCTCTGCTGGTATTCACTCCTTCATCAGTCACCCAACAAAGAAGCAGAAGAGTGAGGACTGACTGGGGCTAGGACCTCCATCAGCACAGAAATCTCAGACTGCATAGAGGAGCCCGAGTAAAGAAGGAGATGCTTTGAGAGGTGAAGATACCGAGGAAGAAGAGATGTGGGCTCAAGGAAAAGCCAGGAAATAAAAGGGCCCATGGGGGAGGAGGGCAGGGAAGACGAGAACTCCGGCTGCTCTTCCAGAGGTCCTGAGTTCAATTTCCAGCAACCACATGGTGGCTCACTACCATCTTTAAAGGGATCTTGATGCTTCTGGTGTGTAGGTGTATGTATAGATAGATAAACACACACACAGAAATGAGAGAAGGCCCCATGGTCCAAAGGAGCTTACTGCTAGAATAAAGAGCAGAAACAGGACTGAAGAGATGACTCAACAGAGCATTGTTGTTCTTGCTGAGGACCCTGATTCAATTCCTAGCACCCACAAGTGACTCACAATCATCAACTCCAGTTCCAGGAAATCCAACACCTTCTGATTGCTGTGGGCATCAGGCACACACATGGTATACATATATGCTTGTAGCCAAAACATTCATACACATTAAATTAAAAAAAATAACAAATAGAAGAAGAAGAAGAAGAAGAAGAAGAAGAAGAAGAAGAAGAAGAAG